ATCGCGAGGAGAATTCGCAGTGAAGTGTGGCGGCTGACCGGAGCGAAGGTTTCGGTGAAGTCACGTCCGTGCTCCTGGTCGAAGCCGCGCACGACCCAGCGTGCTTTGAATTTGTCGATGGTGCCGTCAGCTTTCGTCTTTACACGGAAGACCCATTTTCCGGTAAGTATGGTCTTGTTTCGTGCTACGCCGATAGGAACGACCTTCCAGGTGTTGCGTTCTTCTAACGCCTTCAATTCCCTGTCCATGGCTTCGCGCCATTTTTCCCTATGCTCCCCCCCCAGAGCCTGTTGAACCGTCGCAGGCTCCTTAGGAATGTCGGCGCCGTGGACTGCGGTGACGAGGCCAAGGATTTGGAGTCCACTCTGTGTGTAGCGGGGGAGTGTGGTGTCCTCGGGATAGACTGCTTCGTCTCCAGCTTCTGGATCAGGTGCGAAGTTGGGTCCTACGCGTTCTGCTTCGTTGGTGTTGACTTCAGCAGGTGTAACGTAACCGTTGTCGGCGAAGTGGTAGTAAACTTCGGCGTTGATGCTTTCGCGTGGGTCTTCGTCGTCCATTGGTACGTCCACTGGGCAGTAGGGAAGAGGTCCGGCTTCTTCCGAGGCTCTGTCCACGTTCTGCTCGTCCCAGTCAGCTTCGTCTTCTGCCGAGGCGAAGGCTCGGGTGCCAGTGAATCCGCCCGTGAGGTCAGGTCTGTTGGCTCTGACGTACGCGAGATGAACGTCGAGGGTGAGGTGTTCGTAGAAGATTACATCACGTGCTGCGACTGTTTCCTTGCTGTTGATGTCGAAGATTTTCCATGCGTTGTGGTGTTTTTCGATGCCCAGGTGTACTCCCCACTGTGCTCGTTGGGAGAATCGACCGGCGCGTGCAGATGGTGGTCGGTACTGTACCATGCACCCGAAAACTCGTAACATTTTTGTGTTGCCCAATTTTCCTGTCCACAGCAGGTGCGGTGATGCGTTGTTCGGGAGCGATGATGACGAGAGCAAGTTGTGCAGCATGACGGCGTGGTCCATTGCTTCGGGCCACTGGTGGTTGGGCAGATGCATGCCACGTAGCAGCTTGCGCATGGTGGCTTGAAGTGTCCTGTTCATCCGTTCTGCTACACCTTGCTGTTGATGGGCGTAGGGAAGGGAGATGAGCCGCTTGATTCCCTTTTCTGCCAAGTAGTCCTTGAACCTCTGTGAGGTGTATTCTCCTCCCCCGTCGGACTGAAAACTTTTCAGTTTTACGCCCGATTCTCTTTCTGCTGCAGGAAGCCACGCGACGAACGCTTCGAAGGCCATGTCCCTGACGGCTGGGTAGGTTGAGGTGCCAGACGTATCTGGTTGCGGCGTCGATGAAGGTAATCGTGTAGTTGTAAGTGTTCTGTCCAGGTTCGCGGTTGTACAAGATGTCGCTGTACACTTTCTCGAGCGGTGCGTAAGCTGGTGCGCTTGGATTGTGGTGAGATGGAAATGGTTGTCGCGTTAGGTCTGCTTCGGGGCAGGTGAAGCATGTTCCTCGAGCTCGCTGAAGTTCTCTGCCGTCGGTCAGTAGGAGTGAGTCCTTGTCAAGAACTCCTGCTCTTATTGTGTTGTTTAACACCGTGTGACTCGGATGTCCCATCCTTGCGTGCCAGGTTCCTTCAGTGGCGCGGTGTCCTTAAGAGCGTCGGTACATGTCGGAGTTGGAGTAGAAGCCGGCGGTGAAGTTGGCGCTACGGTGAACTTCTCGCGGTGCTGGTTGAAGTTGCTGTACGGGTGTTGGTGGCGTGTCGTCGATGAAGAGTGGTGCCGTCGAAGGACCGGCGACTGGTGTTGATGTTCCTACTGCTGCTGTCGTTGCTACTCCCGATGTTGTCTCTGCTGCTGCCGATGTTGCCTCTGCTGCTGCCGATGTTGTCTCTGCTGCTGCCGATGTTGTTTCTGCTGCTGCCGATGTTGTTTCTGCTGCTGCCGACTGTTGAATCGTTGCTAACGCTCTTGTTCTTTCTGAGATAGCCCCTTAGGATCTTTTCAAGGGAGAACTCTGGGTAGGATAGTGTTGTAACAGCGGAAGCTTTGATGAAAGATTATGAACCACCTTGCGCTGGTATGTGAGGGCAAAGTAGATTAATTATAGCAAGGAAGTACAAGATTATATAGTAATACAGGGAATATGAAAGGATGCAGTTTGTAACTACTTTACTGTTGCTGTTGCGGTTCGATACAGTACGACTCGGGCAACTGCTCTGTAACGAGTCAGTTGTGTGTCCTTAACTGTCGCGCTGTATTTGTCAGGTCAAAGGTCGCTTGACCTTTGACTTTCGCGTAACCTCCAGCAACCTCTCAACCTCCGAGGGTTGACTCGCGTTTGTTTCGGTACTGCTTGCTTCGCTTCTGGTGCGATGTTTCGACACGACTGAAGCGCTTAAGATTTACTGTTTCCAACACCCTAATCGCATGCCATCCAGATGGGGTTTATTTTTTTCTGACCGCGGGCAGGTAACGACCCCACAGCTTCTTCCACTGGGGATCGCATTTGCGAACCGCGCTGGCTAAATTGGATTGCAGCTGAAGTTGTCCCCAAACTCCAAGCAGAACAACATGAACAGTCTCATTTTCACAATACTGTACAGTTCTCTGCTCAATTATTTAATTGAGTTTGATTTCATTCTGTTGCTGAAATCGAGACATCTGAAAGCGCGTATCACCAAAGCACAGGTTTGGTGCGCGAACCACCAAGCTCGAGGCTGGAACAGCTAGGAACTTTCTAGGAGGCTGACGTGACACTTTTAGTTGAAAATAGTGAAGTTTGCGTGAGGTGCGGGGGTGGTGTGGGATTGGGGCGAATTTTTTTTCCTGGCTGGACTTTTGCAATGCTGGCTGCTGTAGCAACCCCCTTGCCTGCCTGTGAACGAGGTTCTGGCAGCTGAAATAGCGAGGGGTGGATAAAAGGCCACGCGAGCCAATAGGAATCGCGGGTGCTTCCGTCACAGTCGCACAACCAACCACCACCCCAGCAGCTCTCGCTCGCACCTACCTGCAGTTCTATGACCCCTTGCGTTCAGTTCAGTCTTTACGTATCCAGCACTTTAGTTCAGTCTGTTAGACCTAAGCGCTTCTTGATTACAACTCGCATGGCTTCTCGGATCGCGCAAGTTATTACTTAGCACCATAGAGTGTCAGTTGCGCTTATTAGCCGTAGTCTGATAGTAGGCGCTTCACGTAGTGAAGTACGAATTGCCTATTTGCGTGCTGCAGATGTTCGTACAGTAGGCAGTAGTACGATATTTTTTTGTGGATGTATTGCCACCCGAGTTGTAATGTTCATTTCCGGTTGGATTATAGCATCAATTTGCGGGCACATGAAGACCATTTGCACACACATTATTAGTATCGATTTGCAACTTGTTAATTCCATAAATACGTGAGCACTTACCATGCGGAAGGCATTTATGGTTTCGATTCGTAGCCGCGTGAATCGCGTCGGTATTGCCACCTATTCGACGTCCTTAGGCGATTAAGCGAAGGCACATTTCTTTGGATCGCTCACACGCAAGACAGTAAAGAAAGAAAAAGGAGAAAGGTAAGCGGGGTTGGTGGGATGCAGTGAAGGGTGGGGCAGGACATTTCCCATCTCTCCTCGCTCTCCCCTCGTCCCTCCCTCCCCCGCCCCCCTTCGCTCTTCCCTCACCGCTCCCCCTTATCCCCCCCCCCCCTTCCCTCATCTACCCCCACCCTCCGCTCGTCTCCCCCCCGCTCCCCTCTTCTCGTCTCCCACTCACACCTCTTTACCTTCTTCTCGCCCATCATTCTCTTCCCCCCTCCTCCTCACCACTACTCTCATGTCTCCTGCTTTCTTCCGCTCTCCCCTGCTCTCTTCCGCTCTCCCCTGCTCTCTTCCGCCCTCCCTTCATTTCTCATTCCCCCCCACTTTCCCCCCCTCATTCCCCCCTCACCCACCCCTCGCCCCCCCCTCGCTCATCCCTTTTCCCCCCTCATTTACCCCGCTTTTATCCCTCTCTCTTCATCTCCCCTCTGCCCTCTCTGTCGACTCCCCCCTTCCCCCCCTCCCCTCCCCTCCCCCCCCTTCGCTAGCTCCAGTCATCCTCCTTTGTCCCCAACCCGCCCTCCCCCCTGCCGTCATCTACACCCCAGGTCACCCCTCATTTTCCCATCCCTCATTCCCCTCCCCTTCCCTTCCCTCCCCCCTCCAGCAACCTACCTCTCATTACACCTACCCCTTACTTGTTCGACTGCCTTACATCTCCCTCTCAGCTTCACATCCCCCCCCTTGTCATCTCCAGGCCTGGTCACCCCTCATTTTCTCATCCCTCATCCCTCCCCCTCCGGCAGCTTACCTCTCATCACACTTACCCCCACACCTACCCCATACTGTTCCGCTGCCTTACATCTCCCTTCCAGCCTCACACCCTCCTGACTTCCTCTCTTTGCCGCTGCCTGTATGTTCCCTCAACATCCCTCTACCTTCAGTAGCTACCCAGGCTCCTCCTGGCCTACCCAACTGACACTGACCCTGGCCTTTGTGAATTGCCCCTGTGAATCCCCTTAGTGACTTGCCTTTGCAGCACAGGAGGCGATTCTTCCCGTTCGCCTTGATGCTGGTATTGATTGCTTTGGTAGTCAAGCCAATAGATCCCTGCCAGTTGATCTCTTCCTGTATTGCTTTCTCTAATGTGTACGGTACCCTACCGATTTTCGTACAATGGCCACTTGCACTATGCCTTTCTTCTCCTCGCTGTTTCTACTGTTTTATGGTGTTGCACTTGTGGCAAACGATTCAGTACCGTATGAAGACACCGCCAACTGGTGTTGGGCGTGTTAGGGAATTTAGGGAATTTAATTCACCCTGTTATCCTGAGGCTCACCTACAAACATTCTCACACACGGGTACATTCAACGTTGTCACATAAAGACATCGTGTTTTAGAAACATTGTCACCTAAAAACATCGCCACCCAATACATCATGATGTAAGAAACACTTCAAGCATGTCATCATGTGATACCGGTAGCTACATGTTAGTCGCCACACACGTCTCAGCTGCTTTTTGCTCGTGGGCAAGCTTGGCGGCATTTGGGTTCAACAGAGCTTGCAAAGAGGCCCCCAGGAGATTGCTGCCAATGAAGGGATGGGGAACACAGAGAGGGAAGGCAGGTAAAAATGTGAGGAGACGAATGGGCGGCGAAAAGCAATGGTGGAGGGAGATTGAGGTGGGGCAACTGCAAGGTAGTAACAGATTGGTGGATGCTTTAGAAGCAACAAGGTAAGTCGCATTTGGAAACTGGGTTGCAAGGTGTGCAGAGGCTTACTTGACACGAAGCCAGGGGGCAGGCGGTGCAATGGCCCCTGCAGGCTTGTCCATGCTCGGAGCAGCAGATGCAGTGGTGGGGGATGGAGGCGAGGAGGCACGGAGGGTCGTGGCAGGGGGGAGGGGGAGGGTGAGGTGGCGGATGAAGTGTGTGAAGCACGCTTCCAGGGCATCGCTGCTCTGCTGCTCCGCTGGTGCAGGCAGGGAGGAGGCACGGGAGGAGGCAGGGGAGGAGGCACAGGGGAAGCGAGAATGGGGGGAGAAGGCTCAGCAGGAAAAGGGAGGGAAGACGCACAAGGATGGATACAGGAGCGCCAGGAACATGAGAGATGGTGCTTGATGCAGCAACAGATGACTGACTTCAAAACGCCTGAGATTGTAGGGTCAGAGGGCTACGAGTCTGATGCCGTGAGGGAGGCGCAAGAAACAGGTGATTACCAGAGGGGCTGAGGGAGAAGCAAAGGCCGGCAGTGGAGCCGTGTGGGGGCGAGGGCGCGCAGGTGCGGTGCATGTGGACAGCGTGGCTGTGGGCGAGCAGTGATGCCCTGTTGGGGGAGAGGTGGGGGATGGATGGTGGTGGCAAAGACATGCGAGTCATGCAATGTGGCATGATATGTGGCAATGTGATCCGCATGCAGCATTGCATGCAACATTGCATGCCACATTGCATGCAATGTGGGATGGCAAGGGGCAGTTAATACATTATATGTGGCAATGTAATCCGGCATGCAATGCAGAATTGCATGCACTATGGCAAGGCAAGGGGCAGTCAAATACATGACGGGAAAGGAGGAGAGGCGGGGTCACCTGGAGGAGAGAGGGTTAGGCGGGGTTACCTGGAGGAGTGGGGGAAGATGGTGTGCAGGCGGGCCAGGAGACTGGGCAGTGAGGGGCCTGCAGGGAGAGGCCGCAGCAATGGGGGAGAGACAGGTGCGGGGAGAGGGCGAGAGGGGGGTTTGGGGGCAAGTAAGCACAGCGAAGGGAGGAGAGGGGAAGCATGGTGCGGAGGGAGGGTGAGGTGAATGGGTAGTCTTGTGGCTGCAGTCTTGTGAGAGGGCACTGATAACATCACATCACCCCCTCACCTCCCGTCCCTGCAAGCACAAAGTGGGCGGCGTTGCTTGTCACCATGTGCGCCATGTTGCCACCCAGGTCCGGGAACGCGTCTCCCTCAACCTCAAACCCCTTCACGTCCACACCGGGCATGGCAGCAGCGCACACCACCACCACCACCTCCCGCTCTTCCTCTCCCCTCCCATTCAGCCCCCTTCTCACACCATCCCCTCTAGATGAAACAGCTCCTCTTGCCGACAGCAATTCGTTTCCTGGCAGGGATCCATTGCTGGGCCAGATTCGTTGCTGAATGGAGTCCGCAAAGCCCTCCAGCTTGTACTGAGGCGCCTCTAAACGCGTCTGCAGGCCCTCTGCAAGGCCCAGAAACCTCCTGGAAGCTGCCTCCAGGCGCTGGGTAACCGCGCCCTCAGCTTGTGCCAGGTGGCCCTCTGTGATTGCTCGGATAGACTCAGCGAACGAGTTAGAAGGTTCTGTGAAAGGTGGAGCGGAGAGAACAGGGGAGGCGGTTGCAGGGAAGGTTGCAGGGCTGCACTGGCCGCAGTTGAGCTCCCCAGCGACCTCCTCCATCTCATGCATCACCTGCGTGTCGTCCTCGCCCTGCTGCGTCCCCTCCTCGTGCGGGGCAAAGGCGGTCATCTCGCGGATGATGTGCTCAGTGTCTTCAATCAGTTCCAGCAGCACCACGCCTTCTATCACCTCGTCCGCTGCCGCCGCCATCACCACCTCCTCCCACTCCAATGCCTCTCCCTCCCCCTCACTCTCCCCCTCACCCTCACCGTCAGCATCATCCGTGCCGTGGTTCCCCATGCCATGCGCATCGCTACGGCCTACTCTCCCTGTGTGTGTCTCGCCCATGATCGCCCCCTCGCCGCCCCATGGCCCATGCTCCATGCTGCCACCAACCACACACCCAAAAAACGGAATACTCTCTGCTCCCGCACTCCCCTCTCCTCCGCACCTTCCCCAAGCCCTCTCCACCTCTCGCCCCAGCGATTCCAGCACAGTGCCTGTTGTGGATGCACCTGCCTCAGATGCACCTCCCCCAGCAACAAACGCCGCCACTACGGATGGCGAGCCGCCCAGCCTTGCAGCAAGCTCTCTCACTACCGCCGCCGCTGCTGCCTTTGATACAGTTTTTCTCGATCCTGCTTCTGCTGATGCTGATATTGCCGGTCCACCAATAGAGATACGACACGTGGCAGTCACATACGTGGCAGTGCCAAGAGCAGTCAAGACGTTGCTCTCCTCCACTGCTACAACCGGCATGGCACCTGTATCGGTTGTAGGTGCTACAGATGGTACGGCATCTGTAGCGGCTCCATGTGCTATGGTGGTGTCTATAGCAGCACCACATGCCGCACTGTCACCCAATCTCTCACGGCCATACCGCATGCCACTTGCTGATTGGCTCGTACTGGTAGAAGTGTCACCATCTCGGCAATCCCTAGGACCCCTCCGACTCGATCCAAACGCAAGGCCGCTCAAATAACCGCTACTACAATCCATGCCACCATAGCGCATTCCCGTGCCGCCATTATTATCACGGTAGTGACCAGCACTGCTGATGGCATCAGATCTGCCTGTAACCCCTCTCGTGTTCTCATGGACGTCAGCATGCCACGTGGCCGTCGTGACATCCTCTCCCGCCCTGTCTCCGGCGCCTGTGACGGTCAGCCGTGTGCCCAGCCGGTCAAGATGCTCAGTGCCGGCGGAAGTAGGCGTGGAAGGTGATTCTGCCGGCGCGTGCGGGGAGCCGTCGGATTGAGTGCGCGTCGAGGGCGCAATCCCAGGATCTAACGAAGAGGCGGAGGAGGAAAGAAAACGCGCGCTATTCCGCGGATAGCTGCGCGGGTAGTTGCGCGGATCCCCCCGCAAGAACAAGCGGTCGACTTCCGCGCGCTCGGCGGGTGACGAGTGAGTGACGTCGCATTCTGGCCGTCCGATCTGACGGCCACCCGCGAGCAACCGCGACGGCAGACGAGCGTTGCCGGACTCGCCGAGCCTAGCTCCGGACCTAACCGCGCGGATGAGCGCGACGTGCCTCGCCATCCGTGCAGGTTCGACCACGCGATCGCTCCAGGGTAAACACTCGTGAATAGGCGGAAACCTTTCCGGTATCAACAGCCCCGGGCATCCACTAATGCTTCATGATAATCAAATTAATATCATTACGTTGTGGATCAGAAACTTACAAGCCACATCAGCTAGTCAAAGATCCACCCTATTACGTCCAAAAGTATTCCTAGCATGAACTTGACTGTTCTACCGCACGTCACTCAACAGAAACGGAGAAACAAACGCGGGGAACTTATGCGCTCCAACTGAGTCGACGAGGAGGGCCACGCCACCCATGTTGAGAGCGGCAACAAGAATTGCCGCCGCCGCATGACAATGATGTCAGTGTGATTGCGGCCCAGCCAATCACCCACCGAGGCGCACGACAATGATGTCATAGAGAGGCGAGACCAGGACCAGCCAGCCACCCACCAGGGCAGGCAGCCTCTGTCACTCACCTTTTTTTCTAAATACCGTGTCTTGCTGCCCATCCTACACCCGTCCCTCCAGCTCCTGTCACTGCCCCTCTGCTGCTCCCCCACCAGCCGTGCCAGCACCTGTGGCAGCACCAGCACTGGCAGCAGCCACAGCAGCAGCAGGGGCAGCAGCACCATTTGTGCCGTTGGCAGCAGACTGAGGAGCAGTGGGAGCAGCGCCCCCAGAGGATACTCCCCCTGATGTTGCTGCTGCTGCTGCTGCTGCTGCTGCCACTCCTGCTGCCTTCTGCACCCCCCCTGCTGCCACCTTAAGAGGTGAAACACCTGCTGTCTTTGCACCACCAGCAGCAGGGGAACCAGAGGCAGCAGCAGCAGCAGGGGCATGGGGAGTGGTGGCGGGAGGGCCCCAGGCGAGGGTGAGTGCATCCCCTGACGCCAGCACCCGCCCGTTCATGTACGCATACTCCGCTACGGGACGAGACGCAAAGCGCACGCGGACGGCGCTGGTGGGCGTGACAGCTGTCCCGCCACCCTCCACCTCCACACTCACCACCTCGCCACACGCACTGAAGTGCTCCCACAGCATGCTCGCCTGAGAGGTGGGCAGGACGAGATAAAGGGGAAGAGAATGGAAGGGAGTGGGAACTGAGAGGGCAGAGAGAGATGCAGAGCTGCTATCACCACCTTCCCACACGCGCTCAAGTGATCCCATCCCATAGCATGCTCGCCTGCAAGGTGGCCAGGCGGTTGGGGCAAGGATTGGCAAACGGAGCAGACGCTCGCCACCTCCTCGCCGCACAGACAAGGCAGGGTGAGAAGTGAGGGGAATAGCATTGGGACCATCAGGATCCCAACTCTGTGTCACTTGCTCTCTCAGAATTCAGGGTGAAAGAACACTTTCAATTGCCCTCAGACTGGCTCGCTTACCTCAGTGATGGCATCAGGATGGGCGGTGTGATGCACACCACCATGCTGCGATTGTCCAGCTTCAACCTATTCCCCCACAACCCCCCTGCACCCGCTTCCGGCCCCCTTTTCCAGAAGCAAGGCTCTCGCTTGCGCTAAGGCTGGCTTGCTCACCTCAGTAATGGCTTCGGGGATGGGCGGTGTGACGCGCACCACAGTGGTGCGATTGTCCAGCTTGAACTTATTCCCCCACGCGCCCCCTGCACCCGCTCCCACCCCCCCTCCCCCTCCGCTCCACCCGTAGTGATACCCCCCTCCATAACCCCCGTACCCGCCCCGCCCTCTCCCTCTGCCACCCATGTAAGGTGCGGGGCCCGCAGGGGAGTGAGAGGAATAGGGAGCACCGGGGGGTGTGCCCATTGCCTTGCCCCCTGCTGCTGCCGCTGCTGCTGCTCCTGCTGCTGCTCCTGCTGCTGCTCCCTCCGCTCCTGCTGCTCCTGTCCCTGCGCGTGCTGCTGCTGTTCCTGCAGCATCACCTGCTGTGGCACCTGCAGCAGGGCTGGCTGTGCTGCTGCCTGCTGCTGCCTGTGCTGCACTTGCTCCTGCTGCTGGAGAAACACCTGAAGCAGCACCCGGTGATGCACCTGGTGCAGCAGCGGCAGGGGATTGTTTCTGTTGGCTGGCCTCTTTGAGTCGCTCTAGGTACAGCCGGCGCTTCTCAATCTGCTCCCTCAGCAGCGCCTCCTTCTTCTTCTGAATCGCTCTCAACTCCTCCAACTTCGCCTTCGCCTTTGCTGCTGCCTCTGCAGGGTCAACTGCTGCTGCTGCTGCCGCAGCCCCCCCTGCACTCGCCCCACCCTTGCCAGCACTAGCATCACCCTTGCCGCTCCCTTTCCCACCCTCCACCCCTGCCCCTGCTCCCGAACCTCCCTCCCCTGCCGAACCAGCCGCAGCAGCCGCCGCAGCGGCAGTCGCCGCGGCCGCCGCAGCAGCCGAAGCAGGATCAGGCTGCAAATCAAAGTTAGCCCAAAACACCTTAATAAACCTGTTCCCCAGCACCGCATCTGGTGCTGCTATGGCGGCTGCTGCATGCTCCCTCGCGCCCAGCTGCACAAACGCGCGGCCCTTGTCCCCATGCACCTTGATATCCACCACGGGACCAAACTTTGAGAAATGCTTGATGAGAGACGCCTGCAGGCCCTTGCCTGCTGTGAGCTCTGAAGGGATGCCGTTCACAAAAACGGTCATCTGGGCTTTTTGGTCGGGGTTTCGGTCGTTGCCTCCCCCCCGGCCTCTCCCCCCGCCCATGCCTCCTTCCCCTCTTCCTCTCCCCCCCCAGTCCCCTCTGCCTCCCCGCCCGGGCTGCCCCTGGGGCCCCTGAAAGCCCCCTTCCCCTGGTCCTCCTCTCCTCTCATACCCGCCTTGCCCCATGCCCGGTCCCATGCCCTGACCCATGCCCTGCCCCTCCTCTCCCGCCCCGTTTCCTCCAAACTCCGGCCCCATTCCACCCCCGAAATTCCCGGGGAACTGCGGATCGTACCCCATGTTGAATCCCCCATCAGGAGTGTATTCCATCCCCACGTCCCCGCCTATTGCCCCCATCGCCCCATCCCCATCACCCACCCCTCCCCCGCCCCGCCCACCAGCACCTACCGGCCCAATCCGGTCCCACACGCTCACCTCCCCAGGCGCACCCCGCCTGCCCCCCTGCATGCGCCCATTCCCGTCCGCCCCATCGCCCCCATACACCCGCACTTCCCGCATCCCCTTGGCCCTCTTGGAATCATGCACCCATAGAGCCTCGTCCGGGTCATAATGTTCCCCTTCGTCTGCCATCACTCCTCCCCCGCCGTCCACTGCTGCCGATACCCCCACCCCCTCCTGCTCCTCCCCCCCTTCCCCTGCCCCGCTTTCGCCTCCTCCTCGCCCTCCACCTTCCCCTCCTCTGCCTCTGCCTCCTCTGCCTGCTCTCGGCCGGCGCGTGCCGGCCAGCTGGCCGGGCGGCGGCTGGGTGGCGGAGTTTGGAGGCATGCCGAGGGACTGTGGAGGGAGAGGAAGGTTGAGCTGCTGCAGGGACTGGAGAGGGGTGACAGGGGTGGGCGGAAAGGGGAAAGGGGTGTGTGGTTGAAGAGAGAAACGAACGCAAGGAGAAGATGAGAGGATGGAGGGAGATCGAGACTAAGGATGGAAACTGAGATGAAAGAGTGCGTGCAAGTAAGGTCTGCATGCAGCCTCATCTTACTCATGTGCCTCCCTGTCACTTGTGCTGCTAACCTGCACGCCCTCCGCCTCTCTGCACACCTGCACACCCCTCAGTCTCACCTGCATGTATGCGGTAGTTGCCATGGTCCAGTGGACACACCTGTACACCCCTCTACACACCTACACACCCCTCTGCGCACCCCCCTGCGTCTCACCTGCATGTCCTCCACAACAATGCGGTAGTTGCCATGGTCCAGCGGGCACAGGTCGCCCTTCAGACAGAACCCCTTCTCCTCAAAGTCAGGGCACCGCGCGCGCTTCCCCTTGGGGCCCCCCGGACCTGCTCCCCCCCCGCCGCCCATTCCCGCACCCCCTTCCGCGCCTGGTCCAGCCCCTCCCCCTCCCGCCCCCCCTCCGCCTGCGCCCATCCTTCCCCCGCCCATTCCCGGCATCCCTCCGCCGCCCCCGCCACCTGGGAACATTCCAAAGCCCGGGCCCCCTGCGCCAAACCCTGGTCTGATAAGCCCCGGACCCCCTCCCCCGCCCCTTCCAGGGAAGAACCCCCTCCCCATGCCCCCGCCCATGCCGTTCCCCATGCCCGGGCCTGCCCCTGCGATCCCCGCGCCAGGCATAGGCGCACCAGGGAGACCGGGGGGAGGGATCCCAGGTCCTACCCTGCCGGGTAACATACCAGGCATTGCCCCCCCTGCGCCCCCCATGCCCCACTGCTCCCCCCCCATGCCCCTCCCCGGGCCCCCATCGAAGCGCCCAGGCATGCCCCTGAGGAGGCCCGCGCGCCCCCCCATCCCCCCGGGCATTCCCCCCATGGGGAACCGCGGCATACCCATCTGCGGGCCTAGAATCGGCTGCCCCGGACCAGCACCCCCCACGCGGGGGAAGTCCCGCCCCATGGGCCCGCCCCTTCCGCCCATGCCGCCCCCATCCCCCGGCCTGAAGGAACGGGGGCCGTCACGGCTGCGGAACGATCTGCCTGCGCCACCCCCGCTAAAGTCACCTCCTCTTCTATCCCGCGCGCCCTCTAGTCGCGAGTGCACGCTACCGCGCCCTTCCGCGGGATCTCTGCTGCGCGCTCCTTCCCCCGCCGCGCCCTCGTCGCGGAACGTGCGCTCGCCGCCTCTGCGCCTGTGCTTGTGGTTCCTATCGTCGTCGTCGTCGCTCGATTCGTCTTCCTCGTGCCGCTTCCGCCGCCCTTCCTCCTCCTCCTCCCGCTCCTCCCCTCCTGCTTCCGCCCTCTCCTCCGCCTCCGCTTCAGCCGCGAGATACGGCTCCCTCTCGCCCCTCTCCCCGCCTTTACCACCATCTTCGTCCCGCTCCTTCTCCTCATCCCCTGATGCTCTCTCCCTCACCCCCCTCTCTCGCGACGTGCCACTTCTCTTTCCCCCTCTCCCCTTACCCCCCTCCTCATCCGCAACCCGCTGCCCGCCATCTCCCCGCCTGCTTCCGCTCCTCCCTCCGCCTCGTCCCCCGTCTCTCCCGGACTCATTCGCTTCCGCAGGTTCCGCGTCGTCCCCCCGACTGCGCTTCTTGTCCGCGTCGTCGTCTTCCCCCGCGTCCCCCTCCTCCGCGTCTTCTAGCGAGATCTCCCCGCGCTCGAGTGCGTCGAACAGCTTCGCTACAAAACCCTCGGTTTCTGAAACCCGGAAATGAAGAAACAAAGAGAACAAAAAAGGGGGATAACGAACGGCAAAGACGAGGTTTCAGTTGGTTAATCACATTACAACGAATGATCCTCCAGTGCTTATTGAATCAATGGCAAAGTGAGGCACACGAACCCCGCGCTTTCTTCATGGAACAAGCTAGAGCATCAAACAGGAAAAGCTCCAATCTCCTGCAATGAAGCAAGCGACGACGCGAGCGAACAAGTCGATGGAACGTGACGACGAATTAGGTCGTAACTACAAACTAGGGCGAGACGGCAAATGCGAAGAACCGCGCGCGCGAGTAATTGCCTGCGACGCACCTTCCGTGCATAAGTCTTGCAGGTGATACAGGTCAGGCAGGAACATGATGTCCCAGGGATGGCCATTCTATACGGAAGACGTGCAATTTATCAACGGTTGCGAAAGATCTTCATCATGGGTTCCGCGCGACGTACCATCGGTGAGAAAGTCCTGCAGCTGGTCGAGGCAGAGGCGGCGCAGCTCGTCGTGCGGCTTGCTGTTCCGCAGCAGCGCCACCACGTAGTTCGCCAGCAGCGCCGGATCCGCCTCCGATCTGCGCGCGGGAGCAATGCCAATACATAGTTCCGGCAGAAAACGAAACCAACAGGGTTCCGATGCCGCGAAGGACGTGAATTAAACGATATCTAAATGCGGACGTTCCCGAGGCGGAAAGGTGTCGATAGTAACAAATCATGGAAGGGAAAGGATCGAGGTTTAGCGCTGAGCTTACATGGGCTTGAGAAGGTCGATCAGAAAGCGTAGGAGCGGAGAGTCCGCTTCCTCCTCCATCGCTAATTATTGATCCGACGGCCGCTGACCACAATTCGCGACTTGAGACCGCCTGCGAGGGAGCAATGGCGTTGTACCGGGATATTTTCGAAAGCCAAGACCTAATTTGCTACGCGGAACCTAGAGCGGGACTCCGTGCTACCTCGGGAATAACGCGCTGAGATGAATGGGAGGGCGGAAAGAGGAAAACGCCCATCCAAAACTGAAGTTCAATTTGAAGTTCGCCCATATCCTCGTTATAGCTAGGAAATATGCCAACAGGGTGCACACCACGAATACTGTACTGCCACAAGAAACCCCTAAAAGTTCTCTGAAACTTGCATCACAAACATTTCCCTCAATGTTTCACTGCAAATTCACTTGAAACACGTTACACGACCTAAAGATTTTACAAGGCAGCCCTCTACTCCCCCTCCCCTCGAAGCAGACTGCAAATGCAGACTGCAACGACCCATCCACCACCTCGCCACCAGAAGCAAGTCCGCACGCACCGTTCTGCCGGAGTCCCGTCCCGTGTCGCTGGCCGTTTCTTTGTGTGGGGGTGAGGCCGCGGCAATAGCTTTAGCGAAGCGTAGTTCGGCTGCTGTGGCTCGTCGGCTTCGTTTGATTAGGTCGAAATGGCGTTCCTGCTGACAACCATTCAAGAACAGCCGTCGCTCCTCTTCACGCGGACCAGCGGAGAGGTGACGTCCTCGTTATTGCAACTCAAATCTTCTACCTCGTCCATCAGAAATTCCGGAAATTTTCACCAAAATGCTGAGAGTGCCGTGTCTCCCTTGTGTTGGTTCTCTTTCTTTCGCCAATCCCGTGGCAGCTCGACGCGTCGTCCAGAAATGTCTCTTCACTGCCGACTCGCACGAAGCGGCGCCACGTGGCCACATCCGCTTCTTTCCGCTCGTCAAATTCGCCGCAGCCGCCGCGAAATTCGCAGGACGACCAGCAGCAGCAGCAAGCGGGCGAGGAGGCATCACCGCGCGTGGGGCGCAGGAGCGTGGCTCTCGGCGGGGCTGCTGCCGCGGCTTCCGCGCTCGCCGCTTCCGTTGGCGCCACCCTGCTCCCTGCTGACGTGGCCGAGGCAACAGAGTCGAATTTCGCGGACAGTACGTGCAACAGCCACATGTGCGCCGCACATCCTCTTGCGTTACTGAATGCACAAGCCTTCGTTTTTCCCAATTGTGCATTCTGCCCCTCCCTCCCCCTCCCTCCCCCTCCCCCTTCCCCAAAACACCCCCGTTCCCCCAACGCCCCTCCATTGTGTGTGCGGGGGGGCGGCAGTGCCGGCATTGAGGGGCAAGGACTATGGCAAGAGCCGCATGAAGTATGCCGATTACACTGAGACAGACTCCGGCCTGCAGTACAAGGTGGGGTGCAGTGGCGCGAGGTGGGACGCGGTGGCCACAATGTGGGGTGCGGTGGGTGCGGTGGGCAGGCCAAGGTGCGGCACGGAGGGCATCGCAAGGTGCAGTCTTAGTTGCGGAAGACGCGTCTAGCGTCTTAGACGCGTCTGTCTAGACGCAGCGTCTTAGACGCTAGACGCTAGACAGTATCGATTAGACGCAGTATTAGACGGAAACCCGGGCAGGCCCAAAAAAAGTTCGGGCAGACCAAAAAGTTTTGTGGGGCATGGGGGGGTTGGGGAACATGCACCTATGTCACAATGAGGTGAAATTTTCCTCGTACCATAAAATTTTCCCCATTCTAAGACTTTACAAAAATTTTCACATCTCATCATATATGATTGGGGGGATTCAAATTTGCTTGGGGGGCTGGTTTATATGGTCGAAATGGGTGGGAAGAAGTTCTAATGGCGTGAAATTGAATTTCGCGTTGAAATGGCGAATTTCAATTTCGCGCGCGCGATTTTTTTTCGCCCAAACGTCTTGCGTCTAAAAGTGTGTCTTGCTTCTAGCGACTAGACGCTGCATCTAGACGCAAGACGCGTCTAGCGTCTTCCGCAACCCCATCAGGTTCGTCCCCATCAGGTTCGTCCCCATCAGGTTCGTCCCCATCAGGTTCGTCCCCATCAGGTTCGTCCCCATCAGGTTCGTCCCCATCAGGTTCGTCCCCATCAGGTTCGTCCCCATCAGGTTCGTCCCCATCAGGTTCGTCCCCATCAGGTTCGTCCCCATCAGGTTCGTCCCCATCAGGTTCGTCCCCATCAGGTTCGTCCCCATCAGGTTCGTCCCCATCAGGTTCGTCCCCATCAGGTTCGTCCCCATCAGGTTCGTCCCCATCAGGTTCGTCCCCATCAGGTTCGTCCCCATCAGGTTCGTCCCCATCAGGTTCGTCCCCATCAGGTTCGTCCCCATCAGGTTCGTCCCCATCAGGTTCGTCCCCATCAGGTTCGTCCCCATCAGGTTCGTCCCCATCAGGTTCGTCCCCATCAGGTTCGTCCCCATCAGGTTCGTCCCCATCAGGTTCGTCCCCATCAGGTTCGTCCCCATCAGGTTCGTCCCCATCAGGTTCGTCCCCATCAGGTTCGTCCCCATCAGGTTCGTCCCCATCAGGTTCGTCCCCATCAGGTTCGTCCCCATCAGGTTCGTCCCCATCAGGTTCGTCCCCATCAGGTTCGTCCCCATCAGGTTCGTCCCCATCAGGTTCGTCCCCATCAGGTTCGTCCCCATCAGGTTCGTCCCCATCAGGTTCGTCCCCATCAGGTTCGTCCCCATCAGGTTCGTCCCCATCAGGTTCGTCCCCATCAGGTTCGTCCCCATCAGGTTCGTCCCCATCAGGTTCGTCCCCATCAGGTTCGTCCCCATCAGGTTCGTCCCCATCAGGTTCGTCCCCATCAGGTTCGTCCCCATCAGGTTCGTCCCCATCAGGTTCGTCCCCATCAGGTTCGTCCCCATCAGGTTCGTCCCCATCAGGTTCGTCCCCATCAGGTTCGTCCCCATCAGGTTCGTCCCCATCAGGTTCGTCCCCATCAGGTTCGTCCCCATCAGGTTCGTCCCCATCAGGTTCGTCCCCATCAGGTTCGTCCCCATCAGGTTCGTCCCCATCAGGTTCGTCCCCATCAGGTTCGTCCCCATCAGGTTCGTCCCCATCAGGTTCGTCCCCATCAGGTTCGTCCCCATCAGGTTCGTCCCCATCAGGTTCGTCCCCATCAGGTTCGTCCCCATCAGGTTCGTCCCCATCAGGTTCGTCCCCATCAGGTTCGTCCCCATCAGGTTCGTCCCCATCAGGTTCGTCCCCATCAGGTTCGTCCCCATCAGGTTCGTCCCCATCAGGTTCGTCCCCATCAGGTTCGTCCCCATCAGGTTCGTCCCCATCAGGTTCGTCCCCATCAGGTTCGTCCCCATCAGGTTCGTCCCCATCAGGTTCGTCCCCATCAGGTTCGTCCCCATCAGGTTCGTCCCCATCAGGTTCGTCCCCATCAGGTTCGTCCCCATCAGGTTCGTCCCCATCAGGTTCGTCCCCATCAGGTTCGTCCCCATCAGGTTCGTCCCCATCAGGTTCGTCCCCATCAGGTTCGTCCCCATCAGGTTCGTCCCCATCAGGTTCGTCCCCATCAGGTTCGTCCCCATCAGGTTCGTCCCCATCAGGTTCGTCCCCATCAGGTTCGTCCCCATCAGGTTCGTCCCCATCAGGTTCGTCCCCATCAGGTTCGTCCCCATCAGGTTCGTCCCCATCAGGTTCGTCCCCATCAGGTTCGTCCCCATCAGGTTCGTCCCCATCAGGTTCGTCCCCATCAGGTTCGTCCCCATCAGGTTCGTCCCCATCAGGTTCGTCCCCATCAGGTTCGTCCCCATCAGGTTCGTCCCCATCAGGTTCGTCCCCATCAGGTTCGTCCCCATCAGGTTCGTCCCCATCAGGTTCGTCCCCATCAGGTTCGTCCCCATCAGGTTCGTCCCCATCAGGTTCGTCCCCATCAGGTTCGTCCCCATCAGGTTCGTCCCCATCAGGTTCGTCCCCATCAGGTTCGTCCCCATCAGGTTCGTCCCCATCAGGTTCGTCCCCATCAGGTTCGTCCCCATCAGGTTCGTCCCCATCAGGTTCGTCCCCATCAGGTTCGTCCCCATCAGGTTCGTCCCCATCAGGTTCGTCCCCATCAGGTTCGTCCCCATCAGGTTCGTCCCCATCAGGTTCGTCCCCATCAGGTTCGTCCCCATCAGGTTCGTCCCCATCAGGTTCGTCCCCATCAGGTTCGTCCCCATCAGGTTCGTCCCCATCAGGTTCGTCCCCATCAGGTTCGTCCCCATCAGGTTCGTCCCCATCAGGTTCGTCCCCATCAGGTTCGTCCCCATCAGGTTCGTCCCCATCAGGTTCGTCCCCATCAGGTTCGTCCCCATCAGGTTCGTCCCCATCAGGTTCGTCCCCATCAGGTTCGTCCCCATCAGGTTCGTCCCCATCAGGTTCGTCCCCATCAGGTTCGTCCCCATCAGGTTCGTCCCCATCAGGTTCGTCCCCATCAGGTTCGTCCCCATCAGGTTCGTCCCCATCAGGTTCGTCCCCATCAGGTTCGTCCCCATCAGGTTCGTCCCCATCAGGTTCGTCCCCATCAGGTTCGTCCCCATCAGGTTCGTCCCCATCAGGTTCGTCCCCATCAGGTTCGTCCCCATCAGGTTCGTCCCCATCAGGTTCGTCCCCATCAGGTTCGTCCCCATCAGGTTCGTCCCCATCAGGTTCGTCCCCATCAGGTTCGTCCCCATCAGGTTCGTCCCCATCAGGTTCGTCCCCATCAGGTTCGTCCCCATCAGGTTCGTCCCCATCAGGTTCGTCCCCATCAGGTTCGTCCCCATCAGGTTCGTCCCCATCAGGTTCGTCCCCATCAGGTTCGTCCCCATCAGGTTCGTCCCCATCAGGTTCGTCCCCATCAGGTTCGTCCCCATCAGGTTCGTCCCCATCAGGTTCGTCCCCATCAGGTTCGTCCCCATCAGGTTCGTCCCCATCAGGTTCGTCCCCATCAGGTTCGTCCCCATCAGGTTCGTCCCCATCAGGTTCGTCCCCATCAGGTTCGTCCCCATCAGGTTCGTCCCCATCAGGTTCGTCCCCATCAGGTTCGTCCCCATCAGGTTCGTCCCCATCAGGTTCGTCCCCATCAGGTTCGTCCCCATCAGGTTCGTCCCCATCAGGTTCGTCCCCATCAGGTTCGTCCCCATCAGGTTCGTCCCCATCAGGTTCGTCCCCATCAGGTTCGTCCCCATCAGGTTCGTCCCCATCAGGTTCGTCCCCATCAGGTTCGTCCCCATCAGGTTC